TGCTGGAGCCCACGAACATAGGCTCCGCCATCACGTGAATGTCGAGGCTATTCAACTCCTTGACACCACGAGCCTAGTAAGAAGACTGAAACGGACCAAACCATTTTAACTAGAGAATAAGTGTTAGTGCACGTTAGTCTTAAGTGCTAAACAGTGGTAAGTGAAAAAAAACAATAGAACACGAGAACAGAGTGTCTGTAACTTTATAGAGTCTGTAAGTAGTGATATTAGACACGTTCTTATGTTAAGGATATTCCTTATTAGTAAATTAGGTTAGACTTAAAATACTTATTAGTCTTAAGTTGGACTAGATCGTAATGATGCATGATATTTAGTAGACATATATTTTTTTTCCTTTATGGCTCTGGCACGGTTTGTGCATTAGCCAGCGTCAAGTATGTAAGATTTTTATAATTCGTGCTTGTCTTAGAAATTCGACCGTGTCCTCCATGTACGGTTTAAGCACCGCACAACCCTCCCAAAGGCCGAGAACAAATTTAAATTAAATTAAAACTTGCCCTCGAACCGGGAATCGAACCCACTGCCACTTAATAAGACCGCTAAAAAAAATCTTCTCGTTTTAAAGTATTTCAGCAACAATTCTTAATTGGCCATAAATCAACAAAATAGAAAAAGGCAAACCAGAAGTCCTAGAAACTGAAGCCTATTTTGAGGCTAAAGACGAATCGTACTATAAAATTTGAATGCTATAATCATTATATCGCTCTCGAAGGCATATTGAATCAAATCAAATTTTTTAAAAAAGAAAAGATTTCCAGAAAAGATCTATGTCAACCCACATTACAGGATATTTTGAAAGGATCTAGTTTTTGACAAACTTCAATAATAACGAATTAGGTATAGAACCACGTTTTTTGTCGGAAGTTATTTAAAACGGAACAAGTATTATCCAGAATGTATGTATATAATATGTTTAGGAAGCAGACCATACTAAATCTAGCCTACGTTATAAAATGGTGTGAGTCTCCAATTAATTATTTTAGAATACTAGCAGACCGGCCACGCGTTGCTGTGGCTAAGGTTTTTGCTATATTTCATAGTAGTAAATTCAAGAGAAACGGTAGGAGAACACCAGTCATGGGGTTTTGCGTGGTTATGCCATTAAATTGTAGCTTATGTGAAACGTAGGTACTTTCAACACAGCGCCATCTGTTAGAATTGTGACTGTCAAATAGTAAACAAATAATTTGCAATAGAATAATATTGCGGGTATCAATTATTGAGATCTATCCTATCTTTTAAGTTAGATCAAACTGCACACGGTGTGCAAATTTGATTCACATCGGTTCAGTAGTTTAGGAGTCCATAGCGGACAAACAACGTGAGGCGTAATTTATATATTATAGAATATTATTTGTATTTAGTTAGGTAATGAGTCCAATAACTCTTAATTGTATATGTTAGGGCTATGTTTTTCCTGTCTTTCCTTTGGGCATACATGATTTGTTTATTTATTTAATTTTTCATATATTCGGCCTTCTATGCGGTTTAATTAAACATTGATAAATAGAAAATTAAAACAAATTTAAAAAGTAAGACTCATGTGGAAAAGTACCTTTAATGCTGACATATATATACAGATAGCATTTCCTCGCTGTGTTGCGATACATATTTGTTGAGCGAGGAAAGCACCTGCTCTGGGGCCACAGGTACTAACTACCTGGCGCCAACTTAAATCTTTAATTAGCGCCTGTGCACTTCAAAACTGTATAATAAAATTGTCATGTATTGTACCTTGTTAATATTTGTGTGTTGGAAATATAAATATGTTAGCCGGTTTCGTCATGATGTTCATTATTCGCCATTGTTCAACGCAGATGTTGCAGAGATTCGAACACACGCCCTCAGGGTTGAGAATAAACCAATTGACCTGTAGTGTAAATTGTAAAAACCGTTTGGGATATCCTATTTTTATTACTACATACAAATACCCAAGCATTTTTATAATCAACAGTTTCCTTATTTAACGGAAAACACGTTGTAATTGAAATGTCAGTAAACCTGTTCTGACCTGTTTAGATTTTTCTTTCTAAAGACTTCGTCTGATAACGTCATTTTCTATTCCATGATAAATTACAGTTAACTGTTCTATATATGGAGACATCCACAGTAAAGCAAGATTTTTTTATATCTCTATATAGTCTGTTCATAGATTATAAAAACTAGAAATTGTCAAGAATGAATTTTATTAATGCTATAGAAATGTACTCAGAAACTCGGAATTCAAAATTCGATTTTTTTCATTTAAAGTCTATATAGTCTATATTCATTGTAAGTACCTTAATGTAAAAAAATCAAGTTTCCTTACGTTCTAGCGCAAACTCGTTCAATTCTTCGCGAGTTTAAGCAACTAATAATTCTTTATTCAAAAACTAAAAATTGTCAACATTGATTTGTTTTTGTTTTCTCGAATTTCGTACAGTTAACACGGTACAATGCTAGCACGAAGTATGCGTTTGTTTTAGCCGCAGTAAATTAAGCCGATAGCCGATAGCCAGTAGTGTGCGTATTGATTTTTTTCCCTCATTCTGTTAAATTTCATTTATTTGGGGGAGCGGTCTGACGTGAACTGACCGATCTATAACTATTTCATATCTCCTATGGGCAATTGTTTGTTCACTTATATTGTTGTCGATGTTTTAATGGTATAGATTTAAGTTCAAATTTAAATCTAGTCTCAAGCTGTCAAGTAGTATTTGAAGATTGACATATTACAGTACTCGAGAAGAGAATGTGACTTGTGATACCCAACACAGGCCATTAAAAAAAAACTACAAAGTATTGATTTTGCTTTGCATCTATGCACTCATCAGAATAGATTTAGCGATTATGCGTCATAGACTAAACATTTGTTGGGTTTTTATTTGCCAAAGAGTACTGCCCATAGAGAATATGAATCTATGAATCACCCCATATGTTGTATTGTGTAATAAGACATATATTCTATATATATTATATTTTATTTGTCTTATTAGGCCGAAACTATAAGGAAGTTCGTAGTATTAATTCAAGAGGCCGCTTCCACAGACTATACGACGACAATAATAATAATGTTTTCCCTCGTCACTCGCTAGCTGAATAATGAATAAATTATATGAAAACTCAACGGCACTTATGCTTTTTTGTAAACAAGTTAATGTTCTAAGATGGAGGCTCTTAATTTTGTGTAATTTTTTAATAAAATATTTAGTATTTAGCATTGCTTAAACCAGTGGCGTAACTAAACCATCTGGGGCCCGTGGCAATTTCTTTTGATGGGGCCCTATCTAGCCCAATATGTATTGAAGACTTCACATTCATCCATAGAACATAATATCTCTTGGGCAGGGGTCCTCTTGGGTCGGGGGCCCGTGGCATTTTGCCAGCATTGCCACGCAACTGACTTAAACAGTTAAACTCGTTCTAGCTATTTAACATCCAATGTTGATGTTCCTGCCCTGGATTCGATTCTCGGTGAAACTGTCTTGAGTTGGTTCAAATTGGTTACTACTATTGTAAATATTAAATCAGGACGTTTACCACTCATTCAAGTCAATGGTATACATTAATGCTGCACAATTTTCATATTTAGTTAGTCATTTCCCTTATGCAAGATCTTTTTTTAAGAATTATTAATTAATTAATTACTTAATTTAACTAAGCAATTAAATCGGCACGCGTTAGTTAGTCCTATTACCGTTTTATAAAAAATCCTGTATGTCTTAAGAAATAACTACATTTTCTATAGAATTAAACAGACCGTTAAAACGTTTTACTTTTTATTACACTCTCCAACGTTTATATTTGGATATAAAAAAATGTATTAAATAAATAAGGTCATGTATAGAATTCGGATGTTATGCGAGTTATAACGGTATGTGCGTACGCGCATCCCATATGCAATGACGTAAACCTCTATGGTTTTTATCTTTAAGGAAATACCATAAATATGTACACTATTGTTAGTACCGTGATTTTTATCTGAAATATGGACATTAATGAATTAATAAATTATGCGGAAAAAGCTACTTTAATACTGAAATAATTTATCATATATAATTGACTGGCTCTACGGCTTATTATGGTGTATAGCCTAATTAAGAATCATGATTAAAGTATAATAGGCAATGATCACCTAATTTTATTAAAACAGATCAAAGAAAAATTTAAAAAATTCGTCTCCATGCATTCGCCACTTCGCTTCTAAGATTCGTAAATGATTTCTTCAATCTAACTGGCCCTTAAAACAGCGATATTTTATTTTGGTTACAACTGTGTTATATATTATTTATCCCCTAACGAACCGGTTCCAATAAATAAATTTACAAAATTTTAATAGTGACTAAGTCGTGGTGTAATCTGAGGAAATCAAAAAATTATGCAACTTTTCGAAATTCATATAAAATTTTATGACAGGTTATTTTCTTCTTGAATTTATTAACACAGAAATATAGGATGGTTTATGGACGATGATCATATTTTCTGAGTTTCATCATCGGACGTCGAGGCAGAATACGAAATTCCACCCGTATCACCTCGACGTCCGCCGTTCCACAACTGAGCGTTTTTCAAGGCAGTTTTTGCCGCGCACCACCACTATGTGGAACCAGCTGCCCGTTGAAGTATTCCCGAACCAATTCGACTTAGGGTCCTTCAAGAAAAGAGCGTACCAATTCTTAAAAGGCCGGCAACGCACTCGCGAGCCCTCTGGCATTGAGAGTGTCCATGGGCGGCGGTATCACTTAACATCAGGTGAGCCTCCTGCCCGTTTGCCCCCCGTTCTATAAAAAAAAAAAAAACGATTCGGTTAATTGTTTTATTATGAGTGTGTTCGTGTCAACCACAAACCCTCCAATCCTTATATAGCCGTTAAAATATATTTATATATACCTCAAATATCTATCATTAGACACGTCACTAACTCTCGTCTGACGTAAATAAATCAAATATAAGCGGGACCTCGACGATTCGTAGCCACAAACGCGAAAATCTGCCGAACAATGACGGCGCGTGCGCTAATAATTCTGCTGGCGTGTGTTCTCGCATGTGAATCGAGCGAGTTCGACGAAATGAAGAATTTCCTAACAAATATCGAAGGACAGTATGACGATATGTTCCCAGTAATTTCTGGTGAATTATCGCCGTTAGTGCCATGTGATAATTGCCGTCAAAAACGAAGTATGATTGAGGACCGACAGAACAATTTCTTCAATAAATGGATGTCCAGCAGGATTAGATCAAACAAAATGGCAAGGAACAGATGCCCGGAAGGTACTATACGGTACTTTCGGGTATGCATGCCGATCAGAAAATTACTGGCTCAGCGACGATTTTGAAAAGATAGTTGATACATTTATATATTCCCTTTGAAGCTGGAAATTCCACAGATCGCCAAATATGTGACTTGACTCAATTCAGGGTGTATGTGATCCACCTCGGTGGTTCCCCCAGTGTCGTTACATTCTTCTAACCTACAGATAATTTTATATTACTTTAAGTAAGTTCCTATGTTTAAGAATGCGTTGTATTTTATTACTATACCGATACAGTACAGTATGTATATACTTATTTATTATTGCATTTAAAGTGAAGACGTGAGATGAGGTATACCCATCTTATTTTTTTTGTATAAAAGTGCATTAAACAGATATTGTGATTTGTGGAGATTTTTTGATGACTAATATAATTAAGAAATAAAATATGATTAGTAACTTATTTGTGATTTTCTTTTAGACACTATTAAAATCAATAGTTTTCGCACCAATTTATCACATTGTTTAGTTGTTAACTTGTTAAGTTACGTAAGAAGTATACATTAAAAAACTTCTGATTAATTGATGAGGTTTATGCACAGGTCAGATAGCAATATTGCTCTCTAAATTATTTATGTTCCCAGTTCAATTAATAATTTATTCATACCCAATTAAAATTGAGGAAAATATTTAGTTTACCTTATCAGCCACAATTCAAAATACAATTGGACCATAGAACCTTCCTTTGTTTTATATCGGTTAGAAAACAATTCAAATGCATAACTTCAAGTCTAAATTCAAAAAGTTATGAGGACAAAATATTAAATAGATATTTCAAGTGTATAGTGTCAGTATAGGGATGAATTTGAACTATGAACATAGCATGATTCTCTTCGTCCTTGGGCGCGTTAAATTGCTTCCGTTCAGGGTTGCGTTGCGTCAATAGTTTCTTCGTGTAAACAGAAATAGTTTGGAAAAATATATTTCTGAGTAAATTGGGAAATAGGAGGATATTTAAACAATCAAATGATGATGATGATGACTAGACTTTATTTATATTTATTTCCAGAACACAAATATACAGTATTTACAATATTCTCAACCTACATAAGTATTAAATAATAATTAAAAATGTATAAGTCGAAAATTAAAACAAGTTTGATCCAGCAGTTTACATTGAATGTTGGCAGAATTTCTTTAACTATTCGGTGAGCGAGGAAAGCACCAGCTCTGGGGTATCTACCAGACGTCATCGCTAGTCTCAATCTACTAGACTACTATGAAAAATACCACTTATCAGTAATCTGTATTACGTTAAGTAATGTCCTAAATATTGAAAATACCAATCCAAACATACCTATGTTTAATAACTTCTCAAACATAATTATTTAAATTTAAACAAATATACAGTTTTACAATTTTCGTAAACTTCATAGTAATAATAATAAAAAAATAATACATAGAAAATTATACAAAGCATCATTATACAATAGCACACAAAGCTACAGGTGTGTCAAAGATAAGGAACGCTGTATGATAGGGAAGAAAAGAATAGACAAAATAAAGAATACAGATTTCAGAAAAGCAACTATGGTAACAGATGTGACAATAATAATAACCTAAAGTGGAAATGGGCGGGGCACATGGCAAGAGGAACAGAAACGTACTAAACTGTTGCCCAAGGTATAGCACACAAAAAAGAGGAAGACAACTTAGAAGGTAGACCAAATTAAATAATCAGCAGGTACATGGCAGTGAGGAATGGCGGGATTAAGAGGAGGCCTTTGCCAAAATAAGGGCATACAGATACATAAAAGAAGATTGAAATAGAAACGTGTTTAAATGTAAAAGTAGTGTAAGATTTAAATTATTATTAAAAGAAATTTAAAAAGTTTGGTCCCTGTGGCATTATACCTAATACAATTAATACTTACAATCGGAATTAATCATATCCGGTTAAGGTTGTTGTCGAGTTTCGTAACTCGTACAGTTTTCATAACAATAAAGAAGCCGTCGAATTCGACGTAATATGTAACTTTAGTTATCTGGAAAACTATTTTTTGTATTTTCCTACAAACTGCCCCGAAGGATAATTCAATAAATGTTCTATTTTTAATAAGTTTCAACGCTACCTTAGAGATAAGTCAGTGGCACTACAACCTTTTTAGGTCTGGGCACAGGTTTCAGTATGTTTTATGATCAGCCTCCTGTCCACACGCCGCCTTCACCGTTCGAGCGAATGTTAAATGATCACATGGAAAGTACATAGAACCTACGACCTCAGTGATGAGAGTCGCACGACACTGCTCTTTAAAAAAACATATCTTAATTTACAAGTTATAAACGTTTCGTAAGAACCATATTATTAGATAGTACATACTTTAATTTTTGAATTACTATTAATGATGACGCCATTTTACGATTCTTAGCAATGGTACTTAACGAAGGTAGGTTTTTCGGTGAAATGATTGTAACGATTAATAACGACTTCTTGGAAAAGTGTTTCATTGTAGGCATAGAGAAAGTAGTTGAACCTCCTTTTACTTATGAAAACCTCTTTATTTAATTGGACAGTTTATTAAGATAATATTTAGATCTCGATTCGTGGTCGCTGTAGGTATATAACTACCTAACTTAAAAAAAAAACAGCTACAACCTTTTAGGTCTGGGCCTCAGATTTCTGTATCTGTTTCATGATTTGTTAATCTAATTGGCAAGTAGGTGATCAGCCTCCAAAGTCCACTTGTGTCCACACGCCGTCGACTTTTTGGGTCTAAGGCAACCTGGTTCCCTGATCCCTCACGATGTTTTCCTTCACTGTTCGAGCGAGTGTTAAATGGGTACATAGAAAGAAAGTCCATTGGTGCACAGCGGGTACGAATCTACGACCTCTGGGAGGTAAGTCGTACGCCGAAGCCACTAGGCCAACACTGCTCATTTTTGCTGTATGCATTGATTTATCTTGTTCCCTACAATAATTTTTAACATTAAATAATTAGGACATCAAAATATAAGGTACGCATGCCATGAACAGAAGGTGGGAAAAAGCTGGAGGAGACTTTTACCCGAGAGGGTTTTATCAATGGTACTCAAGTAAATTACAATAACGCGTAATAAAAGAACTATAATAAATGTAAATTGTATACAATTATAAATACACTTTACACAGGCTTTATTTATTATTAATGTACGAATTACCAAATACTTGATATAATAATGTTAGTTGATGCACCAAATGTTTTTATGGTTATTTAATTCAGGTCCGGATTATATTTCCTTAAGTAGAATATCAAAAACCCAACGTGAAATCCAAATACATACCATTCAATTAGGAATCCCAGTATACGCTGAAACTAATTATTATATTTATGTTATATGAATTTAAATAAAACATTAAATATACAAAATATTTTATTATCTAATTAAAGCTTTTAACACAATAAATACATTAAAACATGTATTTTATAAACTTTGTAATCAATATGTATTTACAACACCGTAAAAATCATACAATTTGTCTTAAATCTATTTTTTTTTACAAGCAATAAGTGTTTGTATAAAATTAGTCTCTATATATATGTACAAAACAAAATTGAATGTTTTGATAATCACAAATAAAATTATAGCAAAATCATTATAAAATATGTTCATTAACTATTATTATTCTAAGCTAACTAATTTATCCAGATTTAATTAATTTTAAATATGTTTATTGCTTACAATCAAGTGTGTAACACTACTAAAGGTCAATTGCACAATGATTCATGATTAAAAGGAAACTTTCGTGTATTCACATTGCTAAAGCGGGAAAAACTGAATGCATTATTACATAACATTGCATGTACATAAAATTTAAAAATACAACAGCCTTTATTCAAGGAACATAAAAATTTACAATTCAGTATAAACTAAATAAATTTCATAATCAAAGTACTATTAAATGGTAATAATATCAATTTTACAATCCTATTTTTTAATTGACCCGAAGTTCCCATTCTGTCGGGACAGTTTTTTATTAAATCGAAATATTGGGACTATTTTATAAAACTATATAACTTTAACAAATTTGCCCTTATAAAGTCAGTAATATTGAACTACTTAGCCGTCTCTTTTCATCAAAGCGTAAACACAATTTGACGGAAAGAGACAAAAGAGTACTTTAGTTGAGCAATTACACTGATTTAGTACTAATGAGCTTGTTTACGTAATAACTATACAATTAAAGGTAGATCTGATCTGATCAAACGTTAACACGATTTTGCGAGGTGGTTTCCATTTCTTCTCTTATTCATAAACTATAAGCCTCAAATAGCTATTAAACAATGACTCTCGAATAAATTAACTTCAGGTTAAAACATTCGTATAGAAATCTTAATAATACAAAGTTTTATTGCTAAAAACTTTGGATTGCACTTTTAAGAACAGAGATATCCAAGAAATATAATTATTAAAACTTGAGTGTCCAGTCAAGAAAGCCGGAATACACATTGAATTATATTTAAGACTATAGACAAATCGTACGATAAAAATGCTATCGAAAAATTGTATGACCGCTAAAAATTGTTTTTTCTGTTACTGACTTCTCAGCCCACCTCTTAACTGGATTAGCTCCGGTTTGATCATAGACTACATTGCAAATTCTATGTTACTTGATATCACTTACTGCAAATCTTGTTTTCCGCAATTGTTCAACAGGTTTCGCATGAGTTTGCCACTAAATACGCCCAAAACGCTTCCCATCGATGCATCCAGGACCGATCCTGATAAAACCTTTGGGACAGCCATAAACTTGAAATCTGTTCAACCCGGAGTCTGACCTCTTCCTCCTGCTGCCAACACAGTTGGGGCACGGCACTAGCGGAGCCAATTCCCCTGCAACAACAGGGTATTTCTCTACTTTGTCTTGCGTCGATAATCGTCTTAGAAACTGGAATATGTCAAGAGCATCTTCACTCTCTTTGCAGTCGCAGTCAGCGTTGACAAGCAAGATGCAGGATAATAACACAAACAATGCAGACTGCATGGTTTCTCGGTTGTGAATGGTGGCTCTGTTTTCCCGTGACTCTTTATAAGTGAACCAGTGAGTCATATCGTATCTATGACGTTGTCTATTGAATACATGTGACGCATTGATTTATCGTTAAGGTTTTTCTAAGTTGGTTATTCCAATGTGCTTTTGATTAGATAAGTGGAGTTTACTAGACCATTGTCATTATTGTTAAAGCGTCATTATAAATCTTTAACTTAAACTTTTGATGAGTCAATAATATCTTTAATTGTAACATGTAACAAAATATTGTAAACCTATTTTAAAAAGAGTAAGTGTGGAGTTTCTTGCCTATTCTTCTCCACACGAAACTACCTTTTGGAAGGGGCAACTAGAATCTTCTTTGTATTTTTTTTTGACGTTCAAAAGTGCCATTTTAGATGGTCTAATTGAAATAAATGATTTAACTTTGACTTTGACTTTGAATTCTTTATTAGTAAATATCCTACGAATATTATAAACGCGAAAGTTTGTAAGTATGTTTCTTACTCTTTTACGTAAAAATCAAATATAGAGTATTTACAATTTTCTTAACCTAAAAATTATTAAAATGAAAATTAAAATAAATTTAAAAAGTTTGGTCCCTGTGGCAGTGTACCTTTAACGCTGCCAGCATTTCCTATAAAGTTGACATAATTTAAAGTAACTTTATTACATATTATTATATATATATTTTTATTATTATATATTTTAAAAGAATATCATGCATCTAATCATAAGTTCATATTAATATAGATAGAAGTAATAGGCTTGGTCTGAATTTGTCGTATATGGGCCAATAAAAATACAATTCTTTTTATTACACAGGAAATTAGGCGGGGTGCGCCCGGCGTCATATGTTTAAAATCTTACATGAAACGATGTTGTTTTCAATAGCCATGACCGACTGTTAAGCAATCAATTCGCAATACAACTGTGTTCTTCAGTCATCATTTAATCATTTAGTCATCATATTAAAAGAATTTAGTAAGGCCCTAATCGTTTAAAATGTATAAATATTTAAAACTCCTTCGATTCCTCCTGAATCTTACTGTCAAATCCAGGGTATTTTGAAACTATACAAGTGAAAGTAAAAAAAACTGTTTGTATTTTTTTATAGGACAAGGGGCAAATGGGCAGGAGGCTCATCTGACGTTAAGTGATACCGCCCCCCATGGACACTCTCAATGCCAGTAGGCTCGCGACTACGTTGCTGGCCTTTTAAAAAATTTTTTTGGCAGTTTTTGCCTCTCCCCGAATACGAAGGGCAGCCTCTGCATCCACCACCGAATACTGACTGTTCCGATGATGGATGCCCAGAGGGGGATTCTCCACAGTGGAAACGCGTGGTAACCCCCTGGGGTAATATTATTGGTAATATTTTTTTCAACACCAGTGTTAGCCACGGCTAGATGAGAGCGCAACCCTTAACCTTCGAAACATGACTGTACATTAATAGATCTTTCCGTGCATGTTGGTCTAGAGATGATGTTAACCAATTACTATCAAACCCAGGTGCTCATAATCAGTAGGTTTATTTAGAGGATTATAAATAAAAAATAAATCTGGCCAAGACATGGTACATCAGGTATTCAATTAAACATTCACATTACACAATAAAAAAGTTCTTCACAAGAAAAATTTTCAATTGTTAAGAAGAAAAACTTTTAAATGTTATAACAATACATAAGTTGTGTAAGAAATTTTTGTTTTCATTAAAGGCTTTGTTTGCAAGTTGACAACAATTATTTTAAATACTTATAACAAGAAACATTTTTATTAAAAAGTTACGTAAAGACTTTCAAAGCAACCCTATTATATAAGCGTTATATGAACTTTTCAAGAATATTGGCCAGTTTATGTATTCTCGTAACCTACCAATGGGACAGACACAGTTTTGAATCTGTTTTTCTGTTGCAATGCAATATGTAAGATATTGCAACATACGCTTTCAAAGTTTATTTTTACCTTCTGTTTTGTTGTTACATTATCAAAATTTTGCTTTGGGAGTGCTTTTGGAGTCGTGACTTCTGGCGCAGACGACAGGAAAGGCTAGGAGAGAAGTCATTTTCAGTTCTTCTCGTCTGTTATGTATAACAGGATGTATCCTGGAATTTGAGACAGTAAATGTAAATTCACTTTTTTCAACTGTCACTTTTAGGAATAAATTATCTAATATAAAAAAATTCTCGTGTCACAATGTTCGTTCCCATACTCCTCCGAAACGGCTCGACCGATTCTTATGAATACAGTAAGTCTGAGAATCGGCTACTATCTATCTTTCAAACCCTTAAAAGTGGTAAGGGTGGTCCACCCCTACACTTTTATTTTTATTTTTGTTTTTTTTTTATACAGCATACAAAAATACATACAACCCTTAATTTTCCCTCTACGATTACCCCTATTTTTTATTTTTTATTTTAATACTTATAACATGAACTCTGAGGTTTATATAGAGAAAAAATCACAAAATAACCTAAAAAGTTTTTATTCCGGAAAACCGAACAGTCTCTGGGGTCAAAATACCATGTTGGTATGAACTAAAGAGGTAGGCTAAGTAAAATCACATTAAGGACAAACGAAGTACGCGGGGGCAGCTATTTATTCTATATTAGCTGTTGACAGTATCGGTTATTCAGAGCTGCAAGCTTACCACGCTCATGCTTTAGGGATCCCGATATTGAGCTATCGAAACACGTTCCACGATTCCATCTGTTTAATCGTGACTTTTGTAAATATATCATTTTTATGTATTTAAGAAACTAGCGTGACTCTTCAGATTAGCTTTTAGTTTTTTTTTATATTTTGGAATTGTGTAAGTCTATATCTGTATTTTTTTTAAATTTATAGTATGTTTTTGCACTTTACCCGTAGTAATTTTTCCATACTAGGGTTACCAGGAAGAGATCGCTTGTTAATGTTAATAAAATAAATAAATTATTTGAGTGTACATCAAAATTGGGTTTCGGTGTTAGCTGACGTCATTCACTTTGAAGGGAATTCCAGACAACTACCAAGCAATTATTGCGTAAATAATTTGCTATTTAAGTTATATACTTAGTAAATATTCTTCGAGGAACGCGTACCTGTCCTACTCGTATTATGTATATCCAGGAATCATACAAGTATATCCTTTTCTTCCTGTATCGAATAAAAAATGTAACATTTTCAATAATCTTTATAATACAGTTCGTGGGTCCCTTAAATTATTAATAATGTAAGTAAATTTTTACTATATTTACCACTTTATGTATACCAGATTCATTATAATTATTATTATTATTGAAATGCTTCAGAAAGTAATTACGTCTTTGATTCCGGGGCGTCCGCTGATTATTTATTCAATAATAATAATAATCATTCTCGATTTATTTACTATCTTAATATATATAAATCACGTGTTTGTCCGCGATGGACTCCTAAACTACTTAACTGATTTTAAATTAAATATGCACACCGTGTGCAGTTTGATCCAACTTAAAAGATAGGATAGCTTACATCTTCATTTATACCCGTAATATTATTTTATTGCAAATTATTTGTTTATTATTTGAGTCACAATTCTAACAGATGGCGCTGTGTTGAAAGTACCAACGTTTCACATAAGCTACAATTTGATGGCATAATCACCAAAAAAAGCATGGTGATTCCCATGACTGGTGTTCTTCTACCGCTTCCCTTGAATAGTTTACTACTATGTAATATAACAAAAACCTTAGCCACAGCAACGCTTGGCCGAGTCTGCTAGTAATAATTATTTATCTTCTTCTTTTGGTTTCCCTCCATCACTGGAGGTTGTCCGTCAGTCTCGTGAAGCAGAGGCACCAACTCTTCCGCTATACCCGTCCACTCCCTAACGTTGCGAAGCCTAGTTATTTTCCTTCTACCAACATACCATTTACCCTGGACTCATTATAATTAATTGTAGCGGTCATGGTGACCCAGGTACGTAACATTCCGTTGTTTAATGTAAATAACTAAATACTATAAATAATTAACAGAACTGGCAATAATAAGGAACAAGTCGCGGGAACCAGTATAAAAGTGAAAAGTGAAGCTCAATCGATACTAACTCACACATGAATGTTCTAAGATAACCACCCCGCAATAATTAGTTTAACAGTGTTGCCACCCCACCCTACATGTGTGTTACCCTCACTATTGAGAAAAATATACCGGAAAATTCGGAAAGCCGCTTGTGATAAAGTGTCATATTTTTGTGGTTGCTATGACAACTTTATTGAAATCACGATTAGCCAATCACGCCTTAGGTAGTCTTGAGTTCGATTGCGGAATAGTTATATGTTCTGTTTTATTTTGCGGTGTTTCAAATAGCGATGTATATGTCAAAGACTGCTTACATACTTGTCAAGAGCACGTATTCCCAGGCTCTGGCTAGAAGTTCTTATTATTAAAAAAATAAGTTACTCGTTTAAAATTATTACGCATTAGTATCATTACAAATCCTCTTCAATGTGTAATACAACTTTCTAAAGTGGGCAAACCCAACTATTTCTCACGTGATCTTATGTTCCAAGCATTTCCGTTATGTGCTGCGCAGACGCATACCTTTTAAACGAGTGCCATTCTTGATTGATACTATACATGTTTTCTTAAGTATAACTTAATTGTAAATTCAAATTCAAATTCAAAAATCATTTATTCACGTAGGTAACACAATGTACACTTGTGATTCGACATTAAAGAAATAAATATTAATGCTTCTAATTTTACATTTACTGCCAGTTCTCAAATCAAGGGCGTAGAACGGAAGAGAAGAACTGGCAATAAACTCTCCGCCACTCTTTTTAATCGCCATGTTTTTTTTTTTTACACAACGTTTGTAAGAAGCTGCAACCATTACACCATGTTCCACATGACATTTTAAGTAATTAATAATAATAACATAAATAAAAACAAAGACTTGTCCCCTATCAGCAGGAGGCATGGTGAAATAGGAGCACGCACTTACATTCTCGTGGGAACAACACGCAAACACATAGTCGAAATAATTAACATCACCGCATACACGAATTCAAGTACGACCAGTCACCACAAGTAGC